ACATACATACATACATACATACATACATACATACATACATACATACATACATACATACATACATACGTATCTGGAAATGGCGTGAATGGGGTAAGAAGGCGAAGTATTTGTTTCAGTACGGCTGTCTATGAGGCAACCCTTCAGTGTCAGCTTTCTAATGGGCAGCAAGGCAACCTGAGCACATGGATCAAGATCCCCAATGCCTTGACTTGTGGCCAGGGCAACTAAAACCTCATCTGGGCACAGTAGCAGTGACGCCCTGACGCAGACGATTGGGCGAATAAGCCCAAGGCAGGTGTGCAATCCCAGACAAAATAGGTGGCGTTGATGGATAGGAGCATGTGAAACGCAAGGATCTAGGCTCATTTATCTACGCACATGTTGAATGGTGTCAGTATAGGCTTTGCACATGCAGACACAGATACAAATAGTCTTTCATAACACCAGCCAAGCAAACAATCAAACATACAGCAAACAGACAACACATAAAAATGCATAGAACCAGGAAGACAAACAAGTGATATATACACACAAATACACACAAACACACACACACGGGGAGGCAGGCATGCTGACTATTAAAGACAGGTAAGATGTATCATGATTGATGCAGAGTCGGACTTAAGGCGTCAACAGATCAGAGGACTGTGGCGTGGTTGAAGGGTAGAGAGCAAAAAGATGCGAGTTGAGAGAGGAGTGGGGTCGAGCGTCAGCCCAACAACCCAAACATCCTGTTACAGTAGGCGAATAAATCGCAAACGGTGGATCCTCTTCATTTCTTGTCCATGTATTTTGAGGCTAAATAGCACAAGGATAGTATCGTCTGTATAACAGCTGACAAGCCGAAAAACCGACAAACCCACCAACCGACCAACAGAACAGCCGAACAGATAACAAGATATCCAGGTTTATGGACCTTCGGTTCAGACAAACATCCATCATGCCAGAAAAGCTCCTTCTGTCACCCCCCGGTCCGAATGACATTCCTTCTCATCCCCCTCTCAAGCCTATCCGCCTCTTTTCTGTACCCTCCTCACAGTTCGTGCATTCGGACAGAAAATGATTAATCTAAGGCCCGGCTGTCAGTGGGCTGCCATCAGCTCACGGATGAATATATGTCAACCCCTTTGTCCGTCCAGATGTTCGGGGCTAAAACAGCTACGTCTGGACCTTCACGAACTGGACTCCGGGTTTGCTGAAAGTCAGCTCTTCTAACTGTATGATTGCTTGGCTGTGGGTAAGACAGCTTGACTATAACAGTTCGCCGTTAATCAATCTGTATGTGTGCACGACTGTCTCCGGATCTATACAGGCTCGTTTTAATGCTGATCCGTCTACCTGTACACTCGGTTGTCCAGCCGCCTGCCTGTCGACCTGACGGTCTATCTTTTGCCGAAAATACTCTTATCCAAGTAAATGTGCACTCGTTGCTGTCAAGACGACGCTGACAACCTGTCTTCATTTCGTGGTAATATTAATGTGATGAAATCGTGGCAAGGCCACTAACTGGCTCACTGAACCGCAAAAACCGGGCTGAATCTCTCCGCAAATTGGGGGTGAGCAAATATCCCACTTGCTAATTGGAGTTGGGTTAGTGAGAAAATAGGAGGCGAATATTTCCGGCCAAATGATGTGTCGGAAAATGACAAATTGTGCAGGGGCTCAAGTCGAGAAAGGCACAATCACAGGCATATCAAGAAAAGAGGATATCGATGATCTTGTCGTCTCGATCGGTAGGTGAATTTAGTCGGGCAGAAGACTGTCATGGTGCGAACGTCTTACTGATCGTCAACTCGGATGGTACGCGCTCTGAATTAGCTGGGACTATGCTTAACCACATGACTCTTGTGGGCTTACATTGACCAGTTTTTGATGTGGTGAAGCAAGCATAGAACCATCATCAACATGTGTCAGATGATCAGCCAAGTCGACTGATAGCTGATTTATACCACAAAAAGAAGAGTAGGCCACATTGTATCTTTACACTCGAAATGTAAAAAGACTGGGATTTCTACCTCTACTAGGTCTTATCAGCACCCCCAGTGGGATTCGATACCGGGTGGTAAATAGCGTGGCAACGTTAAACTTCCACTATACAGTCACGGGTACCAGTGACTCACATGTCAAATGCAACATTCAAGGCAAGCCAACTCACATTTTGTGGCCTTCTGTTTGGTCGCAGTCTCCTTTAGCTTTACAGTCTTGGTTCCACCTTGTTTTCGCAACTTGGTCGGAGCGTCAGGGCGACCTTGTGGAATGTACCTAGTATTCGTGATTTACAGCATTGGGCCATTTGGCTGGGTACATTCGCAAACATTCACATTTAATGGGGTTATCGATTGCGCAAACATGTGTTTGCTATTACAATCGGCGAAGTTACTGATAGTCTTGCAACTACTTATATCAAAATAAGCAACTCTTTAAAATATAAAAGTAGACGCAGTCGTTCATGCATGCATAATTTAAGGTCTTTGCAGCCATGTGAAGCATAGGAGGGAGGGTGACGCCAAAATGTGTAGCATGCGAGGTGCGATTAACAAAGAGAGCACCCCTTCCAAGGTAAGAACTACTCTAGACAACAATTCCTCTACCAACAGCTTGAAGAGATCATGATGCCATGATGACCTATACTCACAGGAAGCAAGGGAGCGAATCTGGCGTTCTTAGTCTGAGAGACGAAGATTTGTC